CGGGGGTGGGGGGTGGTGGGGGGGGCACGTGTGCGCACTGAACGCACCGGGGCCTCCTGTCTTGTAAACAGCTCCGACAAACACATTCCCCCTTCTTGCGCCGTCCAGCGCCAAGCAGCAAATGGACCTTTTACGAGGCCGCGCGTCGGTAAATGTGGAGCCTAATCAAAGGTGAAAGGTTGCTCTTAAGTGCTGTTCTCTCTCGGCTGTTTCCCAAACAACTCCCGTCGTCCCTTGAAAATCTCGGAGAAGACGGCGGGGGAAATGAGTCCCAGTATTTTGAGCGATGGCGAACAAAAGTGAAGCAAATCCGCTCCTGCCTCACTTGTGAATGTGTGTTCCCCTGCTGGAATGCGCATTGACCGGGTGACCTAGCCAGACTCCAAGGGCTTTAGCAGTTCTACCATTTGGACCCTCCCAATAAATAACCTTGACACACACACATACACACACACAGAAATACCGGCAGGTCAGGCAGTTGAGGGGGGGGGGCGGGGGGGGGGGTTCTCAGGGGAGGTTTTGGGGAGTTTTGCCTGAGAATGTACATTCAGTGTATGTAAGTGCGCGTGTGTGTGTGACAAGAGCCGCCTCATTTGATTTGTGTCGAACGGAGACAGCGAGCCCCGGTGTGTGCGCGCCAGTCTTTGAAAGTCGGGGGAGTGTGACGACGGTCCATCGCTCACCCCTGCGTCTCCGTCTGGGCACACACCTCGATGCGCACACACGTTGTCTGCCTTTGTGCACAAGTCAAATGAAGCTAAACGCTAACACACACACACACAGACACACACACAGTTATATATAGTGGCACGCCCCCGTCACCTCTACACAAAAGCGCTGTGGTTTGCCTTGTTCAACCGAGCGGGACAAATCCCAAAACCAGCGTGTCAGCCCCAAAAAAGCGAGTCTTCCTCTGTTTTTTTTTTCCCCATGTGTTTCATCTCTCTTCCATTCGGATGAACAAGAAACAATGCAGGAGGAAAATGTGCATGTGCGTGTGTGTGTGTGTGTGTGTGTGTGCGTGTGTGTGTGTTCACTACTTCACAAAAAAGTTTGGGTATCAACGCAAGTCAGTTAGTGAAAACCCATCCACTCTCTTACAGCCCCAGCGGGACCCTCGCGGCACATAGGCACACCAGGCCCTGACCTTTGACCTCAGCCACACACACAAAACCAGGCTCACTGTCTCTCTCTCTCGCACAAATCAAACGTGAGAGGGGAAAGGGCGGGGGTGGGGGGTGGTGAAGCAGCAAATGGACCTTTTACGAGGCCGCGCGTCGGTAAATGTGGAGCCTAATCAAAGGTGAAAGGTTGCTCTTAAGTGCTGTTCTCTCTCGGCTGTTTCCCAAACAACTCCCGTCGTCCCTTGAAAATCTCGGAGAAGACGGCGGGGGAAATGAGTCCCAGTATTTTGAGCGATGGCGAACAAAAGTGAAGCAAATCCGCTCCTGCCTCACTTGTGAATGTGTGTTCCCCTGCTGGAATGCGCATTGACCGGGTGACCTAGCCAGACTCCAAGGGCTTTAGCAGTTCTACCATTTGGACCCTCCCAATAAATAACCTTGACACACACACATACACACACACAGAAATACCGGCAGGTCAGGCAGTTGAGGGGGGGGGGCGGGGGGGGGGCACCTTGACTCGCCCACGCATTCCTGTCTTCCAAGGAGACAACACTCCAGATGTCTAAACTTGAAGCGTGACCAAATTGCGGGAAATCCGTACCTGTCGCCCCGCCTCGTTATTCTGCAGGTTCATCAGGGTGCGCGAGTGCTCGGCCGAGCCGCGGGGGAAGTTCTTCTCGCGTTCCCGGGCGTCCACGAACTCGCGGGCGAATCGGTAGCCGTAGTGCACATTGTCGCCGCAACCGCCCCACAGCCAGTCGCGGGGCAGGTCGCGGGGCCGCGCCGCCCGGCTGCAGCCGCAGGTGGACAGCTCGCCCTCGCGGCACGCCCGGCTGATGGCGTTGACCACGCCGGCGGCGCTGATGGCGTAGGTGAACGCCGTTTCCCTGGAGCCTGGAGGAGCGAGAGGGTCAAAAATGGACCCATGGGTTAGTTGGGTCTGTTTGACCAAATTTTGTTTGGTGCACAAAATTGGGCTGTTTTAGTAGTGATTCAGTCCCTTTTGAAACATTTTTCACAAACAGCTTTAAAAACAGCCAAATTGGGTCAATAATGGACCAAACCAACGTTGGGTAAAATGAAAAAGCCACAAAGCGACCCTATTTTTTTTTCGCACAAAAAAATTGATCTTTTGCAACTCAAAAACATTTTTCTTGTTTTTGTTTGGAGTTTTTTTTTCCAAAATTATATTGAACCCATTTTTGATCAAATAAATCACCCAAAAAGCTGGGTCAGTCCCTTTTTTATGGTTTTTTTGACTCAACTGTTTTTAGAGTGTTCACTGTATATTTAACCAGCAAATTGTTCAACCAAACCATCGCTTAATGCTAACACAATAGACTTGCAACTGACCGTTAGCATCGATCACATGCTAATGATCCACCTGTCCTCCAAATGCTCACTTCACACGTGGAGCAGCAACACATACAAACACCGCATAGACCAATACTCACTATTAGTCGAGACTAGTAGGGGATCTTCTCTGCCTTTGTCTCATTACGCCGCATGTCTGCTACAAGCGGTTCAGCTCAGGGCTGCTCGACATGCTTTGTTTGCCACAACACTTTGTGTATGATAATTTAGTCAGAACAAAAGTATTGGGATGCAGGCGGTGACGGTGTCTGAAGATTCAGGTTCTTCCACACCAAACTTTATGACCCTTTCTTTGTAAATGGCCTCCACCCAGACCTCCTCCTGCTCATCCTCCTCTTCAGCAGAGCATATTAAAGATTCCCAGACCCCACTTTGGAATACACAACATGAGTCCTCCGCATGGCCCCATTCAGTGGATTTTAATACACAAAGTGCTTCGGAGATATTTAAAGAGAATAAAGATGGCTACCAGAAAGGTATGAGGTTGAGTACTATGAAACTCGGCAATTTACATGAGAAGAGCAAACAGTCTGCTGCCGTTTCTTGTCGAACTTCACACTGCCGAGGTCCCTTTTTTTATGGGCTTACTATTTACATCTATCTGGGGTATGAGCAGAGTAAATATGCGCGCTGTTTTAGCTGAACAGCTGGAGAAGTGAAGTCAAAGTTTCAAGGCAACAAAACTGATAAAAGGTGAAGTTGTGGGCAATTCAACGCAACAGTTTCATTTTTGGCTGTTGTGAATTGGGTTGAGAGAGTTGAGATTTAAACACAGAACTTGTATTGCCCCCCCCCCCCAACTTAAAGTTAGAAAACAAAGTTAGCAAAATGTTTGGGAGCAAATAACTAGCTTGTTTTGTTGCGATAGCTAACATTATTGCCATGTCATTTATGAAGTTTTTTTTTTCCAACTTAATTTTCGAACACCCCCCCAAAAGAAAAAATAGAAGTTGTGTTTTTGACAGATGATAGTATTTTCTGCCGCTATTTTCACGTTGTCATTTTTTTTTTCCCTTCCACATTTTAACCTCGTAAACGAACATGAAGCATTATGGCGCACTTGTTTATTGTTATTATCGCGCCGCTTGTGGCTTGTCACTCATCACGGGATAAATCACTTGGCTTGACTTTTTTTTTTAATGATAATTTTCAAGTAAAGTCCATTTTTTCAAAGGGGGGTAACGTCAACCTACGGATTCGACGCGGCTTGCGCAATCCACACGCAAACTCGCCGCAGAGCCATTGCGCACAAATATTCATGCGCATCGTCTTGCGGCTTTTATTGCAGACTTCAAATAGCTCAGCTCCGGATCTGCCGGCTCTGTGTCAGCTCATCGGCGCATTTCAAAAAAAAAAAAAAAAAGAGCCTGGAGACAATGGAGCGGCTAACACCTCCATTTTAAAGGTGGACGGACTGTCAATAGAGACAAGTGGGGAGGGGACCCGGGGGGGACGGAGACGGCGGCTCGCTTGCACCCAAGCGGATTTAACACGTACTTGTTGATGAGAGAGTTCCCACGTTCCGACTTGGAATTAGCCCGACATCTCCAGAAGTCCCGCAACATTTTTTTTTATGACATTCGAGCCTGCAGACGCTTGACGCTTGTGGTTGCTGCTCGATTGTCTGCTCGCCCCTTGCATTGTTTGCTCAACTTAGAATGGCACCGAGAAACTTTCGGGATATTTTCACCACGAAAGGTTGACGACTTCATTTCATATCAAATCACGTTTTGAAAAGTTCATGCATTATTGACTTGGTGTGGGAAAAAAATGATCATTATAAAACCACAAGTGAAAAACATTACTTGATTCAGTATTTATGGAATTGTCAACACCGTTTTGGTCGTCAAAAAAAAAAAACCTTTTCCAAATCACGACTAACTCAAACAATGATGATATCCTCATATTTACAATTTGTTGTTGCCGTCTGCCAATTAATTTCTGGATGTCACGATATGTCGCTGGCATAGCGAGAAGAACAAAAATCCCTGGTTGGGAAAGTCTTGGCAACGATGGTGCTTATTTAGCAACATTTCAAAGCAGAAGCTTCTATTTTTTTTAATAAAGCTGCAGATGAAAATTGTTTTTTTTTTCTTAAAATTGCTGGGTCAAAAATAACCAAATTTTTAGTCAAAAACTGAACCAAGCTGCAACTTCCTGAGTTGTTTTGTCCTTTTTGTTTTTTTGGTCCAAAACATGATGTAATCACAAGGCATCATGAACTACAACAACTACATTGCGAGTCTAAATGAGTGTCCAAAAAAAAAATATTCTCACCGATTTGCATGACGCGTCCAAAAACGGACGTGTTGTCCACTGTGCTGCAGTTCCACCTCCTCTGTCGAAACTGGTACTGGCACTCCTTGATGCCCGTCTTGGCTCCGTCTCCGATGTACATCATGTGGTCTTGGTAGAGCTGGCACAGCTTCCTCTGACCCTGAGGATGGAAAAAAAATAAAAATAAAAATGTTAGAATTGGCACACACACACACACACACACACAAACAAACAAATAGGAAGTTACCTGGGAGAGGCCGGACAGCTGAGTGCACAGCGGCTGAGCACCGATGATGTACATCTCGGGCCTCTGAATGGGGGTCAGCGCCATTGACCTGAAAACAGGGCCGATATTGATTATTGGATCTTGCTTCCAACCATAAAATATCATTTGGAATGTTTTGTGTGGTTGAATAGGATGTAAAAGTTTTTTTTTTTTTGGCATCTTCGAATACACGATGGTGGACGCAAAGATGAACTTAACCTGCATATTCACATTTGCCTTGTAAGTCAAGAACAAGTGTGGACAATTGAAGGGCCAGTAGGGGCCAAGCAGCGCCCCCCCCCCCTCCCGCGCGCCCCCAAGTTAGAGCCATTTGGGGC